AAATCTTTAAAGAATTTTGTTCAAGAGCCTCCGTCATCTGAAATCACCAAGAAAGGCTTTTTTTTTTACCCTGTTTATACAGTCATAATTTTACAAATACTACTGAGTTACTCTGTAGCAATGACTTTAACCTATTGTTCCTCAATAGTCTGACAAATGCCCATAATCAATTGGCCTAGCGTTTTACTTGTAGATTATAACCTACAAATAGCTGGGTTAATAGTTGAGTTCCAGGAAGTTTCTTGTGATTACCCTTTGTTTAGATTGTTAACCATGTTTATCTTAAAAGTTCCTTCAATTACAGGTCTTGTTAGCTCGCTCACTCACAGCAAACCCTCCTGTCTGTAAATCGCTGGCCCGTGTTTTGGTGATGGATAAAAGGTCCAGGAGGTTTCTTCGATCCGTACTAACATACATGCACCACTCCAGGTCTGCTGCAGCAATGTTACTGGGTCACCTATAAAGGGGTTCCCAGTGACAGAAAAATCAAAATGCAGTGTTGTTTTCTTTGCTCGTTCCAAATGAATACTACTGTGGTGTTCAAAACTTTGTGCCTTCAAAACTCAGGCTAGATTTGTTTTTTAAATCTAAGACAACCACTGTTACTAAAATATTTGCTTTAAAATATTTGTTTTCCTGATGTGTCATCTTTCTGTCACTGAGAGTTACTGCTGTCTTTAATGAACTGCTCAACCCAACATCTCTGCTTTACCTTTTTCTTCCTAGTCTTGCACTCTCCTCTGAAAATCCTCAACATTCATCCACAGCTTCTGTCATGACCTCTGCATCTCCTCCCACACACCACAACGCACAAGTGCCACAACACTCCCTCTCTTTCTAGTTACCTTTTTAACAAACACAGCTTAACTTCTTGTTGTAAGGACCCACAGAATTCTCCCATCCAAGGACTGAGGCCTGCTCTGTTACCCACTCACCCAGCTTGTATGCCATTTCATTCAGCGCCTTCCCGAAGTAATTGTGAATTGAATTAATTTCCTGAATTAAACGCTCCTGTTGTCAAGCAGCATTTTCATCTGGGGCTTTTGCAATTTAGAATCACAGAACGGTTAGGGTTGGAAGGGACCTCAAAGATCATCTAGTCCCAACCCCCCTGCCATGGGCAGGGAAACCCTCCACTACACCAGGTTGCCCAAAGCCTCATCCAACCTGGCCTTGAACACTTCCAGGGACGGGGCAACCAGGGATTTCTGCATCTCTTTTCCAAAACGCTTTTTTTCAAAGGGAATCCAGCACTCATGCAGGGAGGGCCAAATCTGCGTGCAGAGCAGCGTGTGGCACGCAGACTGGAAACAGCCTCGTGTGCATCCAAAATTGCTAAGAGAAACGGTGCGAACTCCTAACCTGGCAGGTGCTTTGTCTTCCTCCTGGCAGCTGTTGGCCGTCCCAACAGAGCAGTGTCCTGCAGGCAATCTGCACAGGGACACCAAGGAGAGCTGTGCTGAAGCTCTCCGCTCCTTACCCCGGCATCCCTGGGGGCTCCATGGCACAGCGCAGGTGTGCTGGGGACATTTCACTGAGCAGCCCCACAGAAACAGCTGTGCCTCCCAACAGGGGGACAAACCAGGCTCCGAACACAGGAGCACCTTTACCTGGTGACTGGATAACCAAACCCGCGCAGCCTGCGCGCGGGTGGTGCCAACGAGGCCAGGTTCCACGTGAAACTCGAAACACTGCGTCTGTTCTCCTCGTGTGCGTATCGTCACAGCGAAAAAAACGTGGGGTTATGGAATCACCAGCCGGGAGTCAAGGCTGATGGTTGTGCTCTCTGACTCCCTCAGCCACAGCTGTAGCCAAAGCAGTGCTACTCTTCAGCCTCCTTTTTCCAGTTATCAACACAGGGCTGCTTTGTGAGCCCAGCACCCAGAGATAAATCGTACAAGAAGCACCGAGCACGGCGCCAGTGCCTGTCTGGGCACAGCGTCTAACAAGCTGACGTAACACCCCAAGCGTGACATCCAAACAAAAGGTAACCACATCCCTGCGGAAGAGCAGCTGCTGTCCTAGACGATATTCATGATTAAAAACAGAAGTAAAGGACAGGCAGAGCTCCAGCTGTTCTCAGGAAAGGCGATTTCAACCTGGAAGAGTCTACTGCCCAGGGACCACAGCAAGAAATCCTTGGAAATCTCAGAGCAGAAATTTAAATGGGAATATGTTTTGATTGAAGAAAGCTGTTCAGAATGCATAAGAGGTTGTGAAGTTTGCTAGAGCAAAGTGGAAGAAACATCATTTCATGCCACTGTGATGGATGTGAAATCCCCTCAGTTCAAGAAGGACAAGGAAATGCTGGAGAGAGTCCAGCGCAGGGCCACAAAGATGATTAAGGGAGTGGAACATCTCCCTTATGAGGAAAGGCTGAGGGAGCTGGGTCTCTTTAGCTTGGAGAAGAGGAGACTGAGGGGGGACCTCATTAATGTTTATAAATATGGAAAGGGTGACTGTCATGAGGATGGAGCCAGGCTCTGCTCACTGGCATCCAATGATAGGACAAGGGGAAATGGATATAAGCTGGAACACAGGAGGTTCCACTTAAACATGAGGAAGAACTTCCCAGTAAGGGTACCAGAACACTGGAACAGGCTGCCCAGAGAGGTCATGGAGTCTCCTTCTCTGGAGATGTTCAAATCCCGCCTGGACGTGCTCTTGTGTGATCTGACCTAGGTGGTCCTGCTCCGTCAGGGGGATTGGACTAGATGATCATTTGAGGTCCCTTCCAATCCCTAACATTCTGTGATTCTGTGCTAAAGAAGTCATGTGGAACAGGCTACAGAACAGAGATGACAGAGGTTACTTCTGGGCCATGCAGAGTTAATGGATGAACAGGTGGATGAATTAGGGTACAACACCAAAGTATGCTCCAGAGATGCTTCTGGGAGCCACTTCCCCAGGTGAATGCATACCCTGCCTGCGATCTGCCCTTCCTCACCTGCCATGACTTTCCATCTGGAAGTGCCAGATTTGGTTAAACCCCACATTTCTTTGTCTCGTTTGGCTCATTGTTGGTTCCGTTTATTCAAGCATGCTCCCCTAGATAACTTTGAGAGGAGTAGGGAGGTGCCAACGTCACGCTGCCAACTGTACCAGAAAGGAGAAAATACTGGGAAAAATCCTGTGGTGATGGGAGAGCTGCCGTGGGGCAGCAGCAGGGCAGTCAACACTGAGGTCTGACCTGGGCAGCTTTTACCTCCCTTTGCCATCTGGCTGCGTTATTCTCCTGCTTAACCTCAATGTTTCGTCATTTCTACTCTGCTTCCCACTAAAGACTGATTTCTTTTTTGTCCGCAGATGACAGCTGTGCTGAAACGTTCCCTCAGGGAGCTGCAGGGCTTTCCAGCCAGGAGCTGGACGCTGATTGCCAGGGTGCAGAGCGTTTGGCTACAGAAGTGTCTCTGCAGTTGGAAGCAGAGGGCAGTTTGGGAACAAGCAAAGGGCTTTTCTCGCATTTCTTCCAAATGTGTCAAGTTGAAAAAGGCACAGAGGCAGAAGGGAAAGGGCAGAGGTGTAACAGCACCTGTGAGCCCTAACAGATCCCTCGTGGAGCTCTGACACTTACGCTAGTCCTCTAAATGGGTGCAGAGTTCCCACATACTGCGGAGGGAAGAAGAATCGCTCATGGTGGAAGGAGGAGATGGGGTTCAGAAGAAGCCCTCTCAGGGCCCTCAGGAGAAGCAGCGAGAAGGGAAGACCCGTGGTCACTCCTTGCTTGTAAGGGCTAAAGCTGAACTCCTTTTCATCACTGTCCTCTCCTGCTCACCTTGTCTTGTTGCTGGAGCAAAGGTGCATTTTGGGAACTTCTTCAAATGGCTTCAATACCTGTATCTGTTTGAGCTCCTTCAGTAAGCCTGGCTGACTACTCTCCTGTTCTGTCATTTGCTGCTGTTCCTTTCATTGATTTCTTCTATAACCTGTTTTATTAACACATCTTTTCAAGACAAAGTCTGCGATACCTACACTGCAAATATGAGTCTTTGCTCAGGAATGTCCCAACAGGCCTCCAGGTGAAGACCTCCCTCGATGAAAAAACAAAACCAAAAATAGCCATGATGTTTGGGGCATTTTTGCTACAGCAGATTTTTGATGAGCCCCTTTGACCACCTAATTCCCCCTCCTCTCGCCCTTCCAGCTTCTGGTGTATTTGAAAGAGACCTCACTATTGCACCTTTCAGCAAGCTGTCCCTCAAACTCTTTGCAACCTGCTTTATTGCACTTTTCTGTCCACAATTTTGGACTCTTTTCTGTTGCTCTTACTTGGTCACAACTTCAGCCTTCTTCCAGCATGGGCAAGATTTTGTGTGGGAACTAAGGACCAATGAAGGAAGAAACTGAGCAGAAATAAGCCCTTGAAAAGAGGCCATGTTCATGAGAACTGGCGAAACAGCACAGCGGCCTGGGACTTGAAAAGAGATGGTTTCTTAAGTGCACTTCCCTGTGGCTTTACTAGTGAGGAGTTACACGTTCCTTGTCAACACAGAAGGCTAAACTAATGGGCCAATTTAACAGTACAATCTTGGGGTTAAGAAAAAAAACACCAAACAAACACACCAGAAGAAGGACATTGAGAAGAATTTCCCAGGTAGTGTCACTTTTCAGGCTAGCCTCTAGAAACTGACTTGGCCTCTATGAAATATGGTTCTAAAATATGCTTGGCCCCTGCAGCATGTCTCTACCCTGTGCAAGCTTGATGTGAAAGCACTGCTGCTCCAGGCAAGAGAAACAGTGGTGGCCTAAAGCCTTCAGGAGCCATCCTGCAAGGTCCCCCCACAGGAATCCTGCTTTAGCAACTCATGCACTGAGAAAAGCACCAACAGCTGCAATAGATTTCATTCCTGGCCCACAGGAAAAGAAATGAGAAAATCCACAACACTGCTATAGAAATGGCTCATTCCCAGGCACGGGGGAAGCATTTATTCAACCAAACAGCACTAACATTCCTGTGGCAACAGAAGCTGTTTCCCCATGTTCACCATCCCCACGTTCACCACCAGTTTCAGGGAAATGTCAAGTGCAGCCAAGCAATACGATACAAGGTATTTTACAGCCACCTCACCGATCTGCCCCCTGGGCTGGATTTTATTTATTTATTTAACTTTTAAAAGATGTAGAAAATACTACAAGAGAACAAGAAGTATCTAGAGCAACAGGCATCACCTCTCATCTTTAAGTATTCCCCCAGGTGAAAAACTTGCTCCATCATTACAGAACTTGCTCCATTCTTTTTTCCCATTTTGGAGAGCTAAGAGTCTTAAGGGTCTGGCTTTGTTCTTCCTCATGGGAGAAGGCAGCAAACATGACTGACAGCAGGACTAGTCCATCTGCTGAAAACTTAAATAAACGTGTTGGTAAGAATGTCTTCCTGCTGCTGGTGGTGTAGGGTCCCAATGCCGACTGCTGGGGCTGGTAAAGGAGGTCTGCTCACAAGACGGAGCTGAAATTTGAGTCAGGAGGAAATGATTAACGAAACACAAGCATAGGATTGCATCTTGAGGTCCTCTGATGCCATGGTGATATCTACTACCAGATACTGGGCAGTCCCAGCTGGAAGTAATGCAGGAAGTTATCCTCCATCTCCCAAAGACCATGGCTCCAAGACCATTACAGTGCACAATCCGCCAGAGCAAATGGCAGCTTTGGATTCTCCTCCTACTCACTTCAAGCATGTCGTTTCCTATCTGGGATCTTTCATCATCCTGCCCTACTTAGACTAAACACCGGGCAAAAGAAAGCTCCAGTCCTGCTCAACACCACTAAATGGTGCTGTAAAGAGCCTAAGTGGCTTAAACTGGAACACACATTTGGTTTAGACACTAGGATTCATTTTTTGTGTAAGTAGCACACAATTTTGCGTTCAAGGAGAACTTCAAACTTCATTGTAAAGACTAAAACTCCAGAGGGACATCTTACCTTAACCCCCAGCTGCTTTTCAAACCGTGGTGACACAAAGGACCATGGACCCATGTTCTGTGGTTCTTCCTGACTCCAGATGAAGACTAAAGGAAGGATAAGGGTACATTACAAATGCTCACACTTATTTTTTCAGCAGCTGAAGAAAAATAGTTGTGGGGTTTTTTTTTGTAGCACCTCTGCCTTTTTCATCTTGGCACTATCTTTGAAACTGAATTCCCTTGCAGGTCACAGCTTGCTGAAGCCAAACCAAAACTATGTCCACCATTAGAGGATATTGTGGGTATATTCTGCTTTTCTACTGCCATTTTCAAAAGCTACTTAAAGGACTAGACTGCAAAGACCAATGCAAAAAATGCCCCAAGTGGTTCACTCCAATTTTCAGTAGTGCTTTATGGAAGCTAACAACAGCAGACAAACAAGTTCTTTTAGGAAGTGGTAAAAGTTTGTATTATCTCACTCCAGAAACGCTACATGTATGGGGGGGGAGAGCAAAGAGGAAAAAGCCTCTACAACTCCTCATTCTAAAAGAAAGGCAACAGATTCCGTTCAGTACTTCAAAGAGTCTAAAAACACAAAGGTAAAAATCTGGCTGACCTTTTGCACGGCTGTATTTGCTCAACTCTTGCTGTAGAGCTTCCAGGGGGAAAGGACACAGTTCTTCAAGTCTCAGAAGAGCTGTGTGGTGCTGTTTCTCTCCTAGTGTCTCTCTTTGCTTCACCAAAGCATAGTAATGCTTACCAGAACAGAGCACCACTTGGGTGACGCTAAAGAAAAATAGGAAAGTTTCCAAGTTTAGTGTTTTACAGAAACTCTATACAGAACAGTCTCATACTGTGAACAAAAACAAACTTTAAAGACAACTTTATGAAGCTGAATTGCTACCCTAGACCATCTTTTTTTTTTTTGCCTTCTCTTCCTCCCACTCCTCTCCAACAACTGGCAAACTAACCTTTGGGCACAGTATGCCAGAGCCCAGAGGTCCTCTTTCTTCAGTTATCCTGGGGAAGTTATCTTACAATGGGATTCATCTCTCTCAGCTTTAACTATCTAAAATTTAAACACCTAGTCGAAGCTAGTCATCACCTGCTTAGTGGACAAGCAAAAGGCTGTGGATGTTGTCTACCTAGACTTTAGTAAAGCCTTTGACACTGTTTCCCACAGCATTCTGCTGGAGAAACTGGCTGCTCATGGCTTGGACAGCCATACGCTTTGCTGGGTAAAACACTGGCTGGATGGCCAGGCCCCAAGAGTTGCGGGGAAAGGAGTTAAATCCAGTTGGCAGCCGGTCACAAGTGGTGATCCCCACCACTCGGTATGGGGGCCAGTTCTAATATCTTTATCAATGATCTGCATGAGGGGATCGAGGGCACCCTCAGTCAGTTTGCAGACAACACCAAGTTGTGTGGGAGTGTTAATCTACTCGAGGGCAGGAAGGCTCTACAGAGGGATCTGGACAGGCTGGATCAATTGTACGAGGCTCAACAAGGCCAAGTGTCAGGTCCTGCACTTGGGTCACAACAACCCCATGCAACACTACAGGCTTGGGGAAGAGTGGCTGGAAAGCTGCCCAGTGGAAAAGAACCTGGGGGTGTTGGTCGACAGCCGGCTGAATATGAGCCAGCAGTGTGCTCAGGTGGCCAAAAAGGCCAAGAGCATCCTGGCTTGTATCAGACATAGTGTGGCCAGCAGGATTAGGGAGGTGATTGTCCCCCTTTACTTGGCACCTCAAATACTGTGTTCAGTTTTGGGCCCCTCACTACAAGAAAGACATTGAGGTGCTGGAGCGTGTCCAGAGAAGGGCAGCAAATCTGATGAAGGATCTGGAGCACAAGTCTTATGAGGAGCAGCTGAGGGAACTGGAGGCTGAGGGGAGATCTTATCACTCTTTACAACTACCTGAAAGGAAGTTGTGGCAAGGTGAGTGTCAGTCTCTTCTCTCAAGTCATAGGACAAGAGGAAATGGCCTCGAGTTGCACCAGGGGAGGTTTAGATTGGGTACTAGGAAAAACTTTTTCACCAAAACGGTTGTCAAGTATTGGAACAGGCTGCCCAAGGAAGTGGTGGAGTCACTGTCCCTGGAGGTATTTAAAAGGTGTGTAGATGTGGTGCTTAGAGATGTGGTTTAGTGGTGGACGTGGCAGTGTTAGGTTAACAGTTGGACTTGATGATCTCAAAGGTGTTTTCCAACCTAAACAATTCTATGATTCTACCTACGTGCTCTCTGTTGAGAATACGCCAGAGAGGGAGAGAAGTACCTCCAGAAGACAATGGTCTCCCATATGAAAGAGGAACTGCCTGCTGGAGATGCGCAATACCCTCCAGCAACCAGAGAGGTCTTGGCTGCCTAACCTTACTGGACAAAGGCAAGGAGAGAAACCTCACCCTTTTTGCCTCACCATCCCACTTAAAAACCAAGCTGCTAAGGTACGTCCAGCCTTTTGGTTGTGGGTGAGGAGGCACATATCAGGGATGCTGTCAGACTCCCGTCCTACTGAGACAAGGACCAGATAAGAACTTTATGAGGGAAAAAAATGAAGGCCAGAATTGCCCGTTGTGAACAAGACTATAATATCTGAAGGGAGGGAGATATACACACACAATTAATTATTGCCCTAATTTCATTTCATCAGCTCAGTAGTTCCAACACCAGGACAAAAATTCTGCCTCTCTTCATGTAACAGCTGCTCCCACTGACTGTTAGCTAACAGGCATGGAGCAGAACCGCGCTCACCACATTAAAATCATAGAATGGTTTGGGTTGGAAGGGACCTCAAAGATCATCTAGTTCCAACCCCCCTGCCATGGGCAGGGAAATCCTCCACTTCACCAGGTTGCCCAAAGCCTCATCCAACCTGGCCTTGAATACCTCCAGGGATGGGGCAGCCACAACTTCTCTGGGCAACCTATTCCAGTATCTCACCACCCTCAATGTAAAGAATTTCTTTCTTATATCTAACCTAAATCTGCCGTCTTTCAGTTTAAAGCCATTGCCCCTTGTCCTATCACTACACGCCCTTGGAAAAAGTCCCTCTCCAGCTTTCCTGTAGGCCCCCTTTAGGTACTGGAAAGCTGCTATAAGATCACCCCGGAGTCTTCTCTTCTCCAGGCTGAACAGACCCAGCTCTCTCAGCCTGTCTTCACAGCAGAGGTGCTCCAGCCCTCAGATCATCTTTGTGGCCCTTCTCTGGACTCATTCCAGCAGCTCCATGTCCTTCTTGTGTTGGGGACTCCAGAGCTGAACACAGTATTCCAGGTGGGGTCTCACGAGAGCAGAGTAGAGGGGCAGAATCACCTCCCTCGACCTGCTGACCACACTCCTTTTGATACATCCCAGGATACGATTTGCTTTCTGGGCTGCCAGCGCACATTGCCAGCTCATGTTGAGCTTCTCATCCACCAGCACTCCCAAGTCCTTTTCCTCAGGGCTGCTCTCAATCCATTCTCTGCCCAGCCTGTACTTGTGCATGGGATTGCCCCGACCCACGTGCAGGACCTTGCACTTGGCCTTGTTGAACTTCATTAGTAGCTATGGTCACAGCCTCCCTGTGGGGGCAAGGGCTAAAAGCCTGAACACTTCACAGTTATGCAGACAGGTATGGTAACTACCAACAAGTAAGCAGAAGAAAAGGAGAGAAACAAGTAAAACTAAGTCGCCCACCATAAAACATTTTCTCCCCAAAGTCACCTCTTTCATATCACCTCAAAATTGAGCTGTTAGGTAGACGAAAAAGACAGGACTTCCCTTCTGAGTCTTTCCTCTAAGAAAGTAGAGCTACCTTTTAGGATCTACCGAGGAGTCACCAATGACAGGCTTGAATGTTGTCCTTGGAGCCATTTCTTCAAAACTTGATGCAGCAGCCTACAAGGGGGAGAATTGGAAATCTCACTGCCTTTTCCCTCAGGCCAGAGTTGGGAAGAAGATACCAAGACAAGTTTTGGTAAGTACAAAAGACACAATCTTCCCTCTTCCTCCCATTCCCATTCCCACAGATGAAAGGTGGGATGACAAGATTCTCAAGAACACCACCAGCCCTGGAATCAACCCTACTTCTAGCTCACCTCCACACAGCTTTAATCCTCAACCTATCCTGCCCCAAACAGGCAAAACCACATTGATTTGACCCCAAAACAGAGAGAGAAGGACACAGAGCAAGAACAAAGAGAAAAGGGAAGAGAACACAGAAGAGGAAGAAGAAGAGGAGGGAAAAAAAAAAAAAAAGAAAAAAGGAAAAGAAAGTTTTTGTCTTACAGGGAGCCTGAGTAACACTTTGGGAGACACAACGATGAGAGGTTTCCTGAAGTTTCGGACCATTTGCCGCCGAAGTAAATGGAAATACTGTGCTGGAGTGGTGGGATGCACAATTGACATGTTCACCTGGTCCCCATCGACTCCCTCTTCTGAACTGTCACACATCTATATAAGGGGAACACAGCAACACCTTGTCAAGAAGCAAGCAGTGAGCCAAATATGCAAGAAAAAACACGGCGGATAAGGCACGCTGACGAGTATAAGAATAAAAGGGCAAATATCCCGATTCAGACATTGATTGCAAAGGAAGAACAACTTCAGAGAAGAAACGGCTTATGCATTTAACTGGTAAGATTATATCTGAACTGCCTCCTTCTAGCACGTTGTAACCAGGGCCTGACAGTTTATCTCACAGCAGAGAGGTCACGATTTCTCCATCAGAGTAGCAGCATCCCTCTAAACATGCTGCAACCCCTCCTCAAGCTATTACTCAGATGAAAAGGCTTTCAATTACTTACTACAGTCACAAGGGCGCAACAGTGGTTTGTGTTTTTTTTCTTTTCTGTAAAAACATGCCACAGATTTACCACCTGATATTTAATAGTGTCCAGCACTCTTGTTTGTACGATCTGTGCCTAGTGGATCGATCTGTGAGTGGTTTGCACTGCACAAGAGGGCAGCTGCCTGTTTCTGATGCCAACCTCCAAAATGTTTTCTACAAGAAGTGCCCATTAGAGGTCTGCTATTTGCAATTCAGCAATTCCATCTGGATACTGGACTCACTCTGTGGCACAGTGACATTGCTGAAGAGCAGCTGTCCTGGTTTCAGCTGGGACAGAGTCAGCTCTTCTTTTTAGCAGCCAGAAGAGCTCCGTGTTTTGGTTTTAGTCTGAGACTTGCTCTGAGAAGAATGCTGACAGCACACTGATATTTACAGTTGGCACTGAGGTCTCAAGGACTTTTCAGCTTGCCGTGTTCTTGCCAATGTGCAGGAGCACAACAGGATAGGGGGGAGCATAGCTGGAGCATAGCATAACTCTGTCCCGGCTGAAACCAGGACAGTATCAATAAAAAAAAAGCAGGCAGTGCTGAAGGAGTCGCACTAGGGCTCTCTGCAGCAGGCACAGGGCCTCTGCAAACACTATGCAAATTGCACGTTACAAAATTTCATGTTACCACACACCCACTTGGGCAGGCAACAGAGATGCAACAGGAACAGCAAGCATTTATCACAAGGTTCAAACAAAGTCTTGCACCAGAGCTGTTGTGGCAGTAATTAAACCAAAACGGCTTCCTCACCCCTCCTAGACTTATACCTTCTCACCACAGCCCTCTTTCCTCCTCCACTTTCAGCCCAGCCCATTCCTTATCTTGTCCTGTGGGTATGATCCTGGTAAGTCTCCAGCGTCTGGTGTCACTAGCAGGTACACCAGGAAGGTGGCATTTTGTGACAGGACTCTCAGAGCACTGGTTGCCAGTGCTGTGAAGGGGGATACGTGAATCTGAGAGGTGTGGGAGGGTACCTGTAAGAACCGTTCCATTCGGCAGGACGAGTGCTCAGGGCCTGCACCATCATAGCCATGGGGAAGAAGAATCACTATCCCACTTTGCAGGAGCCATTTGGCCTCACCTAAGAACACACAATGAGGAGGAAAGAAAGTGATTTCCATGGGACATAAAAGCCTCAAAACATGCATTAATTTGCATAAACTACCCAGGAAAAAAAGAGTATCCAATTTCCACACCATTAAATACATCCCTGAAACATGCCGCTGGCATTTAGCCATAAGATTCACAAGAGTGAAACAGCACACATAAGATCATCTGAAGTTTCTGAAATTACCATATAACTTCGGGCTTCCACAAGACATAAGCCTCCAAGTGCAGCATGTGAAGCAGTAAAAGTTTTAAAACTTATCCTAAAACAACACCACAGTATGCAAAAATCCTCTTAATGGAATTATTCTCCTGATTAACAGGGGTTCTCAAAGGTAATTCTCTTCAGTAAGAAAACCCCTAAAAAATTCACCGCGTATTTTCTGCATACCTTGTCGTTTGGTCCTCTGAGTTGTAACCCAGGGAGCACCCTGTGAGCCAGTCCTGGCTAACACAGCAGTGCTAGCCACAGGCTAGTTCCCCTGAGCTCTGTCAAGCTCCTGTGCTATTTAAGGGATTACAGCCAAATCCAGAAGGTAATTCATCCCAGCCTCAAATACATGTTGAGGATTGGTGGGATAAGAGAGCCCCTGAATTTCCATATATGATTGTAGAGTGAATGTAGAGGCCTAACTGAGGTGAGATGCCAAAACTCTGGATGCTTAAATACAAGGAATCCCACTCTAGAAATCCATCTTTGCATTTTCTCAGCATGTTCCAGCTCTGAGAGGTCTTTTACCTGAGCACTTAGAGGTTGGTTTTAAGGTGTTGTTGTGTTTTGCTTGTTTAAGTAATC